TACAATAACATTGATATATATTGAGTAGAATTGGTTGAGTTGTAATACCCTGCCATAATTTTTTTCCTTGTTCAATGAATCTATCATCTTGTGACCCAATTCATATACAGTTTCCATGTCTGTTGTCTTCAATGTGAGTTTACCAGTCTTAATTCCCTATGTATTATTTTATTATTATAAAATAGTAGTTAAATCTCATAGGAACCTGCATTATAAATAAATAAACTATATATATATGAAAAACTTACTCCTGTGATAGAAGTATCAACTTGAATTTCAACAACTTCACCTTCTATAAATTCAGTTTCTTCTTTTATACGCACAGCAATTGAACGACGAAAAGCTTGTGTAAGTGCCTCTGTCTTGGACATTTCTAATGAGAAGATTTCTGAAGCTGCAAGTGTTGTAAATGGAATATCTTTTCCTAATGCTTGTGCCATGCCTAAAATGATGATTCAATTATTTTACTTGGACTATTTGTAAACTAATCTTTCTCCTATCAACCTATCAAAAGAGAAAAATATATACCCATTGCAATAGCTGTTTTTCCTGTTCCAGGGGGTCCAGCCATTAAAATTGCACGGCCAGCAATCTTTCCTTCTTTTATCATTTGCAAAATCACTCCAGCTGCTTTACGAGCTTTAGTTTGACCCACCATTCCTTGTGCTACCTGTCGAGGCACTAAAGAATCATCAAGGCCAAGTCCACGAATATGTGAATGTGCCCCTAGAGGAAATAAATATTGATAAGAAATCAATCAAGATAATTGAATAATTCTTTTATTTCTGTAAGCTAAGCTATGAGCTTTTATTTTTTACCTATACGTTCCATTTTTGTGATATCTCTAAGTTCAGATGTTGTGAATGAACTGGCCTAATAAATAATTTACAAAGTTATGAACTTTACTCTATGGATAGTAAATAATAACACGTAGATATTAAAAAATCAATTTTACCATTTTTATTATTTTTATTGCGTGTATTTAAAAAAAAAAGAAAAGATTCCTGCGTTTGATTATTTGATTTTATTGGTTGTATCTAGGGGTAAGTAAATATATGGGGGGACAACTGAATGTTACACGTATATTAATATATAAAGAAATTAATTCTAAAAAAAAAATCATGTTTTTTTATTGCAAATTTTTTTATCATTTGTTTTGATTCAAGGAAATAATCTTGCATTTATATCTTTTTTCCAAAAAGAAAAAAACCGTTGGTAAAAAGTTATTTGCTTATTGAAAAAGTCTGGTGATTTTATAAATTCAATTTAAATAGCAAAGTTCATATGATGACTTTCCATTACTACAATAATAATGATTTAAATATCTTTAATATTTAATTAAATTTTTGTATAATAATAATGGGCTTGTATCATATATATATCACTTGCCTAAAAATTTTAAAAAATTTATGATAAATAAACTTATGATAATTAAAACTTATATATAATAAATAAAACTTCTGATAAAAAACTTGATAAAAAACTCACAATAAAAAATATTTCTTCAGAATTATTAGAAAATAATTTGTATATTGGTTGTCGCGTTTCCTTTTTGGTGTTGAATATGGAAAATCTTTTCATTTTATGATTAGTTTATGATCAGATCTCCTTTTCTAGTAGTCTCGTGGTGCGAAAAAATTTTTTTTTATTCACGCGTTTAATCGTTTTCAATAAAATTTTCTTTAGAATGTCTGTTAAAACTATTAACGAAATTAATGAGCTTTTAGCTCTTTTGGAAGAAGAAAAAAAACATCTACAACAAAATGTATGTATTTAGTTTATTTGTAAAAATATCTACTTATAAATAATATAAATAATTCATAATATATTTTTTTTAAGATAATAAATAAAAATGGAGAAAACAATCATAGTATTAGTGAAAATGTCAATGATAATTGTACCAGTAATGATAATGATATTAGTAGTAGATATAGAAATAATAATGATGATAATGATAATGATAGCAGTAGTAGCAGTAGAAATAGTAATTGCAGAAGTAATAATAGAACTAGAAGTAACAACAACAACAACAACAACAACAACAACAATGATAATGATAATGATAGAAGTGGCAGCAGATATAGTAATCATAGAAGTAATAATAGAATTAGAAGTAACAACAACAACAACAACAACAACAACAACAACAACAACAACAACAATAACAATAATAATAATAATAGATAATAACGAATATGAATAAACAATATAAT